GCTTGTCTTCTGTTCTGTTCTAGGGACTGCACTGTGACTTTGCTTGCCTGATGTTTCAGTACTTGGTAAATAAGCCTTCGGAAGACAGGGTCAGGGAGATCATTGTGGACGCTGTTCAGATCGAGCAGGTAAGTGCAGGGCTTTAGTGTAGTCACATGACCACACGCTTTTCTGTGTCACTGTCTTGCTTTATTTTTATTTTATGTGCATGGATGTGTCGCCTGCATGTGTATCTATGCCCCACATGCTTGCCTGCTGCCCACAGAGTCCAGAAAGGACAACACATCTCCTGGAAATGGAGTTTCATGTGTTGACGAGGTACTGTGTGGGTGCTAAAAAGGAAACCTGCGCTCTCCACAAGAGCAGCCAGTGCTTTTACCTACCGGACAGTCAGTCTCTCCAGTCCCTGTAGGTTGCCTCTAGAACCTTCTTTGAAATAGTGCCTTATGGTACTGTGTAGACTAGCCTTGAACTCTTATGGTACCGTGTAGACTAGCCTTGAATTCTTATGGTACCGTGTAGACTAGCCTTGAACTGTTATGGTACTGTGTAGACTAGCCTTGAACTCTTATGGTACTGTGTAGACTAGCCTTGAATTCTTATGGTACCGTGTAGACTAGCCTTGAACTCTTATGGTACTGTGTAGACTAGCCTTGAACTCTTATGGTACTGTGTAGACTAGCTTGGAACTCTCAGGCTCATGCAGTCAGTGCTTCTACCCCTTCCTCTGCACCGTGCCACTGTGCCTAGAAGCATTTGACAAGTAAGTTGTAATTTGTATGTCAATACCAGCAAATTCATGTAGTCCAATTTGACAGTTATCTCACTCACTTTGCCACTGCTGTGACAAAATACCAACTTATAAAAGAAAAATATTTAATTTGGGGCTGACGGTTGCAGAGTCCAGGCCCGTCCTCACGGGGCACACACAGCAGTAGGCAGGCACGGTGATGGAGCAGTAGCTGAGAGCCTCTGTTCTTATCTGAAGCAGGAGGCAAAGAACCCACCCCCACTGACATCTACTCTACAAGGCCACACCTCCTGGTCCTTCACAGACAGTTCCACCAATCCTCATTCAAACTACAGCAGTAATGACACATAATGTATTGAAATTTTGTTACCTCAGTTTATAATTTGATTAAAAGTCAGTCTTTATTATATATCAAGGTTGTCTGTGTACCTAGTTTATTTCAGGGCTATATTTCTGTTTTAAATTAATTTAAATTATCTATTCATATAGCTTTATATAATTTAAATTAGTTAAATTATATTTAATCTTTTAAATATGATTCCATAATAAAAATTTTAATTATCGCAGCTTCTTAGCTTTATATTTTCAACTACTAGAGAGGAACGTTAATTTTTGTTTTATCGTTTCAATAACTTAGCAGGCTGCCTAGCTGAAGCACAAACCAAACATTCACAAAATGAATCAGTAGAGTAAGACTTAATCTATGGCAAGCAGCCAGATACCCTACTTAAAGGGTATTTTTTATCACTCTAAGGAGCTAACTCAAAGAGAAACTTTGCTTGACTTGCTTTTGAACAGTGCATAGGTTACAGCATGCTTTTCATGCTGTGAGGAGAAGGTTATGTATTTTGTCATCTTTTACCACCTTGAGGATGAATTTCATGGTTAATATGCTTTTATTTTTCCTCTGTCAACACTTTACCACTGTCTTTCAGTACAATTGGATTTAATATATCTTCCAACATCCAAACTGTCTGTAACTGATGTCTTTTTCTTGGCTTGCTTTTGTGGTCCTGCTTTGAAAAAATTTTCTCTGGATTCTTCAGGATAAAGCATCACCATTTCTCTGTTGAGGAAATCTAGGAATCAGGTCCTATGCACACTACTTTAGAAGATCCAGTAATTTGCTATTTTCTATTTAACTTTGGCCCCTGAGAAAGTAAAATCTTATAATTAGAAATATCCCAAACATTTGTAAACAGATGACCATCGTTTGTTATGTTAAATTTATCCTGGCATACTTGCCTTGAGCAAAATCAGTGTCTAGAATATGAAGAAAACTAAACTCCTCTGTTTGTTATCTTCTCTGTGGGAAACTGTTCATGGCTCGGAAGGTACAGTCTCTCACAGCCAGGAAGGTTCCAGCAAGCTGAGCTGAGCTTAAAGCACAGCTTGTTCCAATTTTTGCAGACCAGAAAGTAGAGTTGGATGGGAAGCATATGCCCAGGGACCTATTTCTGCCCGCCAGGTCTCAGCTCTAGAAGGTCCCATGATCTCTCTAAACAGTGGTACCAGGTAGAGACCAAGTTTTCACACACATGAGCCTGTATGGGACATTTCAAATTCAAGCCATAATACTCCATATTTGGGAATGTATACTTACTTACTGTTATGTTTTTGTACCTTATTCTGATTTTGTTTGCATTCCAGGAGTTCTTAACAGAAGCCTTGCCTGTCGGCCTCATTGGAATGAACTGTGTTTTGATGAAACAGTATATTGAGTTTGTAGCTGACAGATTGCTTGTAGAACTTGGATTCTCAAAGGTAAATAGTGTTTTAAAACATGTTACTACCTATCTTGGTTGCTGTTCTATTGCTGTGAAGAGATACCATGCCCAAGGCCTTTTATGAAAGAAAGCACTTGATTGGGGGCTGGCTTACTGTTTCAGAGGGTGAGCACAGTGGAAGGCAGGCAGGCAGGCAGGCAGGCAGGCGCTGAGAGTTTACATCCCAGAGCAACTGGTCTGAGCTTTTGAAACCTTGAACACACCCTTAGTGACACACCTCCTCCAACAGGGCCACACCTCCTAGTCCTTCCTAGGTGGCTCACCGGCACGGAAACAAACATTCAAATATAGGAGCCTCTGGGATCCACTCTCACGCAAACCAGCACACAATGGACAGTGTGGTAGGCAAGCAAGGCCTCTAATATTTACTTGACTGAAATCGTTTGTAATACACCAGTCTACTTTTAAACCACCAGTGATAAGTTGGATGTGTGATGTTCATCCATAATTCTAACATTTCTAAGGCAGAAGGATTGCAAGTTTGTGGGCCATCTTGGGCTATGTGGCCAATCTGTGATGGACAAGTAAATAAAATGTGTAGGACAGAGTCTTGTTCTGGAAAAAAAAAATGTTTTTGCGGGATCCTTTGAAACTTAAAATAAGATTGGTAGCAGCCATTGGAAACCCTCAGTACCTTAGAGGAGCAGTGTGGTTCTGCAGGTGACTGGGCAGTGGGAGCCCTGCCCTCTGGTTTTTGTCACTTGGATTCTTCAGAATATCTAATGACATTTCTTTTCCTTCTAGGTTTTTCAGGCAGAAAATCCCTTTGATTTTATGGAAAACATTTCGTTAGAAGGGAAAACAAATTTCTTTGAGAAGCGAGTTTCTGAGTATCAGCGCTTTGCAGTCATGGCGGAAACCACAGATAATGTCTTCACCCTGGATGCAGATTTTTAGAGCCCTCATTTAGAAAAATACCTTAGAAGCCGGGTATGTTAGCACACGCCTTTAGTCCCAGCACTCAAGGGAGGCCAAGGCAGGTGGAGTTTGAGGACTGTCAGGGCTACTTATATAGAGAGATCTGTCTCAAAACCAAAATAACAAAAGCAAACTAACAAACAAAACCACATAGAAACCTGTTGTTGGTAAATAGCAATTTATTTTTCTGTATTTTTGACACTTTGAGTATCTCATTTAAGGGCATGAGAGTTTGAATAGAAAGAAGTCTAAAACTAAATTCTAAGTTGATTTATCTAAATGCACTTCAGTTTATTTATACAGTGAGAGCGTGACCTAAATGCCCTTTACTGCTTTGTGTGACCTTGGCATGTCAGTTAATCACTGTAAGCTTCAGGGCACTTATCTGTAAAACTTCTATAATCAGAAGTCCCAAATTCATGGAGGTAAATACACAAAAATAAGTTTTGCCAACACTACCTCGACTACTAATTAATATTAATGATAAGACTAATTGCAGTGACATTGTGATGCAGTACACTCCTCTCCAAAGTGACTGTGACTCTAGGTTAGATGGAGATTTGGAATTCATTAGATTCTTGCATTTTTAATGCTTGCAGGAAGAATATGAAACCCTTAGAGAGGTCACAATTCTCATCTGCAATAAGAATTTCTCAATCTGCAATAAGAATGTAGCTTGTAATTGCTTAGGGTGGAAGGCTTAAGGAGTAGAATCCAGAAGTTACCACGGTTGTGGACCTTTAAGCAAAGTGATTCTTCTTCAGGAATTAAAAAGATAACCATTTCCAGGTACAGCCCTGGAGTGTTGGGAACCCGGATCGACAGGCAGTTCCCAAAGCCATGTAGATCGCCCAGGTGTTTGCAATAGAAAAAGATTTGGTGGTCAGTGGATTTGGGGAAGGCTGCACAGTTCTTCCCTTCTGGGAACGCACCGCACGGTCAGCACAGAGCTGGGGAAGTGC